ATTTTATTGACGGGATACAGTCAACGCATGTACATGCACATAAAGTCGCCTTGCGTTCTTCACATTTTAAAGTTGGTTCCTAATTTTTCGGGGTCCCTGTGATTTTATTGGACGCTTGATCTTTTTTCAATGACTGACATTGAATGACGTACGAGGTGCAATGCGAATCTCAGAAAGGTAGTTGTAGTAATAAAAGTTTTTATATATAGATAATTTACCCTATATCCCTACCGTTTATACTTAAACAAGAACCCGTCTTCTCGCTGGAACATTTCATCGTATTGATCTTCTCCTAGACAGAAAGCCCAATAGTATCCTTAAATCTTGCAAGCATGTCTCTATTCGTTGTGGCATGGCAAAGTTCTTTGGATCCCAATCCAGCTTCTTCAAAAAGAACAAACCACTCATGGTTCGCACCCTTGATAACACCACGTAAGCCCAGTTTTGACAGTATCGCCATGAATGTACCAATAACCACACTGCACTAGTCGAATACGTAGACTTCTACAGGGCCTTCTAAGTAATGCGCGCCGGGTATAATTCAAACCTCTGCCCCCATCGGTACCATTACCCCTAAAGCAAATCGTCTCCAGGAGACGAAATTTCGCTGTCAAAAGCGCACCTTCCAACATGTTGTGGACAGCGTCTGTCCATCGACCGCACCAATCTCAAAGCCTTATTAAAACCATATTTGTTAATGCTTTGAAACTCGCTTCTGGTTAGGGACACTTGCGATTGAAGATGGATCTTTCAACCACATCGCGAAGATGAGGATCGGGATGAGATCGAAGAACAGAGCTCCTGAACCCAAGAAGCCGAGCACAACTGCACCACTGCATGTACAGCACTGCAATCTTAGCTTTTCTAACTACCAGGTAGCTAGCTTTAAAGCTCTGCTCGCTGTTGGACACACAAACATTACCACAAACATTGCGACCAGTGCCAATGGCTCGCACGTTTCTAGCAAGCAGCACTAATCTTGCTTGCTCTCCAACCAGTCCAAATTTTTTCCTGCCGCTGCACGCAATCAACTCAAACATCAAGAAACTGTCTACAAGCTGATGAAACACGGCAATCTCCTTCCACAACGTCCTCCGCATCACACCATACATCCACCATACACCTGAGTTACGCCCATATCCCGAGCTTCTTAGCTAATGGTGCTCGCTCGACCGCCGAACCATAGACCGTCTTCATCCTTGTCGTCGTCCTCATCATCATCATCACTGAGGTCTTCCCCACTCATTCTTTGATATACCGTACGTGTACTTGAAAGCCGACGATACGGTACCAGGTACTGTGGCACGACTGTACCGGTACCGGTACCGTACAGTACTACCGTATGGTACCACTTTCTGATTCATAAGTCTTTTCTTGTACGTGTCTTTTCCAAACCTCTCCCCTCCCCTTTCCCACTTGCCCACAAAGATCCATCCAACACCCAACACGCACCGCTACCGTAAAAGTATGCTTGCCGGGATGCTACAGGTAGATTGAATGCAATCACCCACCATATAAGCTTATATACTCTTCCTCCAGCTGATTCATTCCTGAATACAGAAGGGGAGCACAAGAGATCTCAAGGAAAGCCTGAATGAAGCAAGAATAACCAAAAACCAGTGCACACAGCGCCGAGATCATGGTTTATAGATGGGAACCGGTACGGCGCCACTGGTCATCCGGTAGCGTGACTTGAAACAACAAGCTAGCTAGTTATTAGTTCCGGTCACAGCAATCCAGGTGTCTTCGTACTACATTAATTAACTCGGCGCCGTTGCCATTCATCGTTTCGCAGCAACTTCCTTGTACCAGAGGAGCAGTCATCAAAGTTTTTGCTCCATACTTCCTTTTCAATGCGGTCGCAAAGTGCACCAGGACATTGGTTGCAGTGAGGTCTTTAATAAAACCATTGATTACCGATGCTGCTCGGCTGCATCCTTTCGATCCAATCAAGCGAACACCCCTTTCATGGGAAACCAACAAGGTGCACAATATTTTACCGCCGATATTTTCAATAATTTCGATTTCAACACAAGTGCAAAACTGAGTAAGCAGTGTTTAACATGGAAAATGATATGTAAGAAACTGTCGGAGCGTACTCCAGGATTCTCGGCCGCAAGGAACCTCAATATTTTAAGAGTTAAATAATTCTCAGCAGCAAGAAGTGCCAGTCATTCATGCCGTACCGGTGCACCGTATGGTACCGTTGGTACGTACCAGGACGATAATGGTCGGCAAATGATTGACCACAAAAGGATGCCATAAAAAAGATTTGAACAACACAAAAAACCAACGACAACCAAAACACCAAAACCAACATCAACACAAAGAAACATTTAAACAAAACCGCAACGACAACCAAAGACATCAAAACCAATATAATCATACAAAGAAAGACAAAATAAATGAAGGACGATAATCAGCTGCACTTGGTCTCTATGATTTGCTTCGTCGCCGCCGCGACCTTTGGGCTTGGGGCCGTCGCACAACTGAAGGACTCCTGGGCAATCATTCAGAACTGTTTCGTTGTTCTTGCCATCTGTTTCACCATCGAGAAACTTGCAGTCACTTTGTTCTTCCATCTTCTCCGACGTTTTTTTGTTACTTTACACTTTGGCCTTGGATTGTTGCAGAATGCTTTCTACATTTCTGCATTCATGGTCAGTCCCTCGTTCTTCGCAGCAAATTGGATCAGCGTATTCTTTGGCTACAACCTCTGGAGGTGGATCATGCTTGTATTGCAACACCAAGACTTCTCTTCACCTTTCCGTGTCTTCTATACGGTGCATCAAACTATGATCTTGTTCATGGTTGGATCTTGGATTTGGATGGGACAATACTGCAGCTGCCCAAGTAACCTCTATCTGTTACGTGGGATTGTCCTCTGGATGACTGCAGATACCTGGGAACAGCTTGTCTCCTTACATCAGAGTATCTATCCTCAACCTTCTCACAACACATGGTGGGGTCTGCAGTTGTTCGGCTTCCTTGTCCAGCGACTCCAGCGTTCTGCAGCAGTCATCCAAGCCATTGTCATTACTCATGGAGCCATCAACCCTTTGGACCGGGTAGTGTTTGGTACTTGCATCTTGAAGGACATCCTTGATGTTTGTTTCCAGGCACAATTACTGTATTCACACCGTATCAAGAGAATTGACCGTTGCAACCTTGAAAAGCTTGCTACTCTAGTTGACATTGAAAGCAACCACTTGCCTCATCGTCAACCTGGATGTGATGAAGTGCTTGAGTCCAAAGACCCCACCAAAACCAGTTGCTTTCCCAAGCCTTTCACTGAGGCACCTCCAGAGTTGGATGACCTTTTGGCCCTTCCAGAATTTGACAAGACTACCCAATGGGAGTTGTCAGCGGTGGACTTTCAACGACTGACACAAACGAGACTAAAGATGATTGCTCAGACTCGCGTCTTTCAGCTCAGTCTGTTACCAGGCATGGGCAAGGGAGGCAAAACCGACCCAGGAGGATGTCGTCAACTGCTTGAGGGCTTCCATTGGCTTGGCCAATACGATTTATCCCTGTTTGATGTTGTTGGTGTTCATTGCATTGGTGGAAATGTTGTCTTCATCCATGGAAGTGAGGAGCAACTCTCTGAGAATCGTGACAGAATTGATGCAATGGATGATGTCTATTGCTTTGGTGCAACTGAACTTTCTCATGGCTCCAATGTAAAGCAGATTCAAACAACCGCAGAATATGATCCCAAGACGGATGAGTTTGTGTTGACAACACCTTCTGTAACAGCATGCAAGTATTGGATTGGCAATTCAACATTTGTTGCAGACTATGCTGTTGTTCTTGCCCGCTTGCTTGTAAAGGGCGAAGAAAGGAGTATTTCATGGCTTCGTGTGCCTCTCTGGAAAAGTAAAGAGTCCAATGAACACTTTCCTGGAGTTACCATCAGGGATATTGGTGTCAAAGCTGGGTGCAATGGAATTGGCAATGGATGCATCACATTTGATCATGTTCGTGTGCCAAGAAGTGCTCTGATGTCTCAGTTTTGTGAAGTGGATGAAGCTGGTGATTTTCAGTCTGCACTGAGCAGCAGTGACCTGTTCTTGCGGTGTATGCAAACCTTTGTACTCGAGCGAGTTGGTGTTGCTGCATGTGCCATCGGTGCTGCAAAGACAGCAATATATGTTGCTCTCCGTTATGCTGCAGTTAGGCATCAATTTGGCCCCGATGGTGATGAGGTTCCTCTCATATCTTACCCGATGCATCAGAGGCGCATCATGTCACATGCAGTCCGCTTGTTTGTTGGCAAAGCAACAGTTGATAGGATCAGCAGAATAGGCCAAGAAACGTTTCACCCGTACAAGTTTGGTGATGATCGAAAGAAACTTCATGCACTTTCATGTTTGGTGAAAGCCTTTGGCACATGGGAGAGCTTTGCGGCAGCTCAGGAAGCTAGGGAGCTTTGTGGAGGCAATTCTTATGCAGGTAAGCTGGAAGTGTGATGTATTTCTGATCCCCTTGTTGTCACATGCTCACAATGCTTCTGCGAAACAGCAACCAGTCAGATTGGAATGTCACGAAATGACCTTGATGTTACTCTCACTTTTGGAGGAGACAATTCCATTCTTGCTCTGGAAGTAGCGAGGCATCGGTTGAAGGAAATCAAGGAATGGTCCACTGTAAAGAAGCTTCTTGGACCAACTAAACCAACAACCAGAAGCATTTTCATTGCTGACCAACAAAACCCCACCACAGCCATGGATAAGTGCCTGAAGCTACTGGTTTACCGTGAAGAAAGCATGCTTTTATCAGTTGGAAAGAAGCTCTTTGCAGATAAGGACAAAGGATTTCGTGGGTTTACTGAAAACAGCTTCGAAATGCGGGAGGTAGCAGCAGCTGTCTATGATCGCATGTGTGTTGAAACATGGTTAGAGGAGCAAATGGATCAGGGACAGTTGTATTGCGAGATTGGTCTCTTGGATGCTCTCCAGCGGGTACAAAAGCATGCATCTTGGTACTTTGCAAAAGGTGCCATGAATGCACCAACCCATGAAGCTATCGAAGGCATCATCACAAACACTTCTGGGATCTTGGGACGCAAGCATGAGCGGGTGTTGGAGGCCCTCTATGTCCCCCAGAATCTAGTCAAGGACTGTCCTCTGGTCCAATCAGACTATTCTCAAGCAATTTATGATCTCACCTACCCCACTTGTGGCACTGGCAAGCCATTGGGTAAGAATCCTTTGACTGTGTCTGCTTGAAGCTGCATTTCTCATCCCTTGCAGGGGCAGAAGATTCTCATGCAATCAACTACTTTATGTTTGTACCGGTCTCGGAAAACGTTAGAATAGAGGCAGCACAAGGATATATGATAGGTTGCACTTTTAATTTATGATAGATTGTACTGACTATTCTATTAGTAATCCTTAGTTTGGCAGTGATGAGCTGAATTGCACAGTAAGAATCGTTCTGACTTCATGCTTTTTTCTCCCCAAGTTTTTTACAATCTGCAAGTGTTGGGACACTTGCTTTTCGTTTCGGCATCCGAGGAGCATCATGACTGGAACGTCGAGGAAGCGTGGGCAAAAGGTCGCGGTCTGAGGCTAGCATAGCCTCAATTGTGCGTCTTCGAACATGGGTTGATGTCCTGAAAGAAAGTCTCCCTCGCGCATCAATGATGTTGCTTCTGCAGTCTGCGACACGCTTCTGGGGAGCCCTTGGTAGCGTACACGCAAGACTGATTCATGGCACTAGCAGTGCTGATAGATCTGTCACAGAGGCTTGACCCAATAACACCGCTGCTGATGAGTTCAGACACTGAGGCGGAGGGGATCGTAATGAACTGTGGCACATCGCTCCAGGTTTTCTTCGTTAATCGACTCGTATCCATGGGAACAGGCGCACCTTGATCTGTAATGCTGGATGCGTCCTGTGGCGTTGACATGTCAGTGTGGGCTGGACCAATGCTACTGGGTTGAGCCTCGCAAGCACATACTGGTTGGGGCCTGTCAACAGAAGGCTGAGGAATCCTGGGGGAAACTCATGGCGCAGAGAGACCCTCGTGTCGCATGTCTGGGTGTCTTCTACTAAGCCGGGTAATTCTTCCTCTACAGCAGACCTATTTAGTGATACTCGTCTCTTGAATTGGGGGGGTTGGGTTTGGTGCATGAGTGATCATACGACGCCCACTCCTGGTGTTGGAGGCCTCCTTTACTGCACCGGTTGCGTTGGTCCACTTAAACGTCGGCAGCCACTGGTTCGACAACTGACACAGCCGTTTGCACTGACACGGTTTACAAACATGGGGATATCACTTCGGGACGAGTTGGTTCGTCTAGAGTAATGGAAGGCACAAATAGTTTTTGGCAATGGCAGCTGTCTGGCGCCAGGAGATGGCCAAGTTCGATTGCAACCACGCCCATGGTCTCCAGAGCAGAAAATGAGAGATGGGATTGTATCGAAGGCAGAGACATCTCCTGCGTAGGGTGGAGCCATGACGGTTGACAAGATCTGTAGGTCGGCGAAAATTGTGAGAAAAACCAGGCCTTCATTCCTTTGCAGGACGACGCCATAACATGCGTTCCGAGTCGAAGCCAAAGTCCACCAGATTCGCCAGATTCGCCAGACAAAGCCTGTGCATCGTATGCGTATACTCTTCAGTGTGAAATACAGTATTGGTGTCGGAGAGCCGCTGGAGATGATACGCTGGGACACATGGTCAGGAGCGATGTTGCTGGTGCTCTGGAGTCTCATTTCATGAAGTCTAGCTAGCTAGGGCAATGCCGTTTTTCTTTGTTGGTGTGGGTGGGAGTCCGGGGAGAAACTATCCTATGCCATACAGACCCTTCTACGCATTATGATTGTTCTTCTGAGCACATAGTTGCCGGTCCCTGTGGTGTTGTGGCCGCGCAGCAACCGAACAGGCTCTGATCAACAGGTGCGAGAAAAGCATGGTACTTGGCCGGAACTAGAAGCGGAGCGAATTGGATCACCCTTATCCGCAGTCATCGAATGACGAGAGAATTTTGCCTAGGTACTGTAATACCTTTTGCATGCCAGCATGATGTAGCTGCTCGAAGCTACGTGTAGAAATCAATTTCAGAGCCCCGGTCAAAAACTTAGCTGGATAAGAAAGGGATCTCCAGCCAACTTTGCGCCAGCGCGGTACTCTTGAAAAACTGTTCCAACACTCTACGGTATGCTGCTTGCCAACCACTGACTCGAATCTGACTTCTCTCTTGGTGCATTTCCAAACAAAAAGCCGCATATTATAGCTAAATGCATTTTGGCTGTCTAGCTAGGAAAGTTATGGGGGTACTGGTAATAGGTATGAAACTGTGGGTAACAGGCACCGTTGCCCAAATAGAGTCGGCACGTTGTTTTCAGCCTGATTCAGTTCCCTTTACATGACTCAGCTGC